AGTTTTGCTCCCTCAAGAAGGAATACAACAAGATGGTGGTGGAGTGCAAGGCATATAAAGTAAGGTTAAAGGAGTTAACCTGCAAAAAAAAAGGATAAGTAGGGATATTACTGCTGTCTACAACAACCTAATGGGAATATGAGAAGAGAGAGACACATTTTCCTTGGAAGCAAAGAGGCAGATAAAATATAAATTTTATAAAATATATAAATAAATTTTATAAAACATATAAAGAAAGCGACTGATAACTAAGTCTCATCAGTAATAACACAGTTCTGATTATAAAAGTAATAAGATGTTAATGTAAACAAGCTACATTTTAAACCAGCCTGAGAAAACAATCAGATTCCTTTTTCATTAGCAGACTTTGTGGGAGACTAGTGTTACTATTTGTGCCCTCTGAAGAGTATATAATTCTTTGCACCACTTAACAACATTTCTCAGACCCTGAAAACAGTCAGCTCCTTAGAAGCAGTTACAATGATATATGATTCTTAAAAAGGTTTATCTGCACACAAGGATAAAAGCATGCCTTTGGAGACATATGGGTGCTGCCACCTTGCCACAATTTCCCATTTATTAATCAATGATAGAGAGATGAAGCCAATACATTTCTGGCCCAGCAGAGTCTGAGCCCATTACATTCCTCTGACAGTGAGACTGACACACTGTACTCCCAGAATTCTCCCCAGGGGTCCTGCAGTTTGTCCAGGGAAAAAAAAACATAATTCTTGGTTCTGCTGCAGACTTTTCCTCCTTACTGAACACCCGTCTAAGGCAACATTCATGGAGAGCCAGTGCTCACATGCCCGTGTGCTAGGCACTGACATTTTCCCCAGGGAGAGAGTGCCTCATCTGGCACTCTTAGCAGGGCTAAGCAGCTTAGCATCTGGGCAACTTGAGCTCTGTAAAGTCAAAGTTTCTTCACTGTTCAATCTACCCAATCTGTTCAAAAGACACCAAGCACACACCTACTGGTGTGGGATGTGACAGCCTAACAACATTTCGGTTCTCCTCTGTTGCACTAAGGGTTCCATGGGCTGGACTGACTTTGAGCATGGGCATGTCTGTCCAAAACATACCTTTCACATAAACTCACAACAGCTCAGGATCAGGTGTTGCAATGCCCTTGGTGAATTTAATCCACTCTCTGCTCCACAGCCCTCAGACTGCAAAACTGGGAATGTAGTACATCTCTGTTTCATTTGGACATCATAGGGGCAAATACATTCAAGGCTAAGCATCAGAGGAGCATGCAAAGTCCTCACAAAAACTGTCTGCCATTTATCAGCTATTTAATGATGTAAAAAAGCCACATGAAACAAAAGGCAATGCAAAAAAAGATTAAAAATATACTCCATGTGACGCATTCTTGTTCCTCTAATTTTTTCTTTTGAAACTTCATAGCTAGAAAAACTTTGTCTCTTTCAGTTCCACATATTTCTTTTGATAGTATACCACACCCAATGGTAGTGACTTTCTATAATGCTTTATAGTTTGTAAAAAAAAAAAAAAATTAAATCACCAGATGACTTATAACAGTGATTCATGTTATTGTTATTGCTCATTATTATCATTTGTCATATGAGACAATGCCTGGCTATGCACTTTTCCTCTTTTGTAAGAGAAATCTGGCTCAGCTCTGAAGGCTCCACATTCTGTTTATTATACTAGCTGAAACATGTTTATTACACTGTCATGTTTTTATATCCCTCCTGCTACCTTGTGCAAAACATACTTTTGCACTGACCAAATTGTGAAAATTCTGCAAGGCTTTGCACTCTCTGATCAAGCCACTGATCCACCGAGTTTAGCAGCCTCATGTGGTGGCAGCCTGAATCTGACCCAGCAGTGTCCCCTGCCTCTCCGTACCACACCTAATCCTGAGAGGCCTTTCATGGGGAACTGCCTTCATGACTTCCAATCCTAAGATTTCCCGAGTTTTAAGCTCTAATCGTTCCTCAAAAAAGTGCATTAGAAAAAGTACTACTTGCCTGAATGTTGTTATGATATAATAGTGCTTGATTGAGAAGTAAAGCCGCAGGAGACATATATGTAATAGCTAAAAATAACAGTGATAAAGCAACAGTAATGACAACCCTATTTTCATGTTGCAGCTGCAGTAAGTTCCTGCATAGCTTTGACCAAGAGGCTTTTAAGGCATTCTGACCAGAGCCTTTTGAACCCCTGAGCTACACTGACTCCACAACTTGATGGCAGGAAGTCTGTCAAGTGACATTCTGAACACAAATATCAGTCAAAGAAAGTCATCTTATGAGAACTCAGTCGCTTTGCTCCCTCCTTGATTTTGTACCACTTCTGAAAGACTAACTAGCTCTACCTTCAGACATCTAGAAAAGTGATTGTTTCCTCCTGATTTCTGCCCTTGGATCTAATAAGTTACATTACCTCCCCCTCAAAACTTACGTCATCAGGTTTGCTGTGACTCAATAACAGAGGGCTGTTGCTAGAAACACATGAAGGGTTCATGGTTGCATGAAAACCTCTGAAACACTTCACTTGGCTTTGCAATGATGTCAATATTTATTGTCACTGTCACAGACACAGACAGATTACACAGATATGGCCAGGATACTGCACTTGCAGTTTACATAGGGTTACATGCAGCACTCTCCCTCTGGCTTTGAATTTAAGAGATACTGTGTCAGAACTGGTGTCAATGAGATGAATTTTTCATTCAGCCCAAACACTGTTTGGAGAGGAAGGGAACCAGTGGCTGACGTATCTGGGTTCCTGTTTCTTGCTCCACAAATCCCAGCTGGGCTTGAGCCTTGTAGGAGTAATGCTAATTCTGTAGTCCCACAACTCCTTTAAGTCAACAAAAGCAAATGCAGATGCTAAAAGAGGCAGTGCCAATTTCCCACTGACCCAATCAGTGTTTTCACTCTCTTAGCTTCCTCAGGGACTGCAAATAGTCATATATACATATGAGAGGGGAAAAAAAGGTTCCTTTTAACCCAGAGTGTTGTCCTGTTCCCACTAACTGTGTGTCTGCATGAACATCTGGCAGATGGGAGAGAGAGATGCAAATGGCAATAAGCAGGCAGTGTACTGGAAGGTAAGCCAGGACTGCTTATTACAGTTTAAATAAATTTGCTAATTCTGGAACTTGCAAAATTTACAGCACTTGTACAATGTCCCCTCATGGCTAAGCAGGAATGAAAGGAGGGTGTGCAAAAACACAAGGCAGACATCCCTTGTCCATTATCTCTGGATTAGATGAATCAAATTTTCTAACTCAGAAAATGCCATCAGACCTGTTTAAACTAGGCTAAATGTACCTAAAGAACCCCTTACTTACAAAGTGCTTCACACTATCCATAATGACATCCAAAATCAAGTACTGGTAGTTTCTAACAAAACATAGCCTAGTCAAGATGCTGTTTTAAATCAAAACCATTGTCTCATCCTTTTTTTGAAATGAAAATCACTTGCCTCATAAAAAGTTTTTATGTTTCAGAAAATTATATTGAGAATAATGTTTCTTAATAATGACTCTTATAATGGCATTACTTAAAACAATTAAATCAATTAGTTCAATAAAATTCTTCAACTGAACTGCAATATTTTGACATTATGACTGATTGAGTTTACTGCCTTTGCAATTTAAGAAAGATTGGTTCCTTTAGCAATTACACTCTGATTAGTCCACAGCAAGAACATTTTCCATTACTCATCCCCCACTGCTATCAAAGGGCCTTTACTTTGGGCTTTTATTTCTGTCTTTAATCCTAAATTAACAGAGTTTATCAAAGTCCTTGCTCAGTAGAACTCTTGGAGAAAATTTAATTTTGTATTTTACCTGTACTAAAACTTCATTGAAGTAAGAAAATACAAAAAGTAAGTAGACATTAGTCACTGGCACATAATATTTTAGTTTTAATTAAAAATATAGCAGTTGTGGCTGTTCAATAACAAGTAAGAGTTAATGCTAAAAACCTGTGATAAAAAAACCCCTCATATTACAAAACAGCATAAAGAATCTTTTCATAGCCCAAGTAATCAAGCTTCTGTCAAAGTGAGATCATTGTCAATCAAACTTTGAAATCAAACACAGCTGCAAAAAATCAGAGAAAAAAAAAAGCCAGACACTTCACTCCACTTTGAGCACTAACTCAAAAGTGAGTACAGAGGCTTGGCAGTAGCTGAGATCTTGTAATTCTGTACAGTTGTAGAAGCACTCAAGAAAAAAATCTCTAAATTGGGGAATTTTGTCTTTCTGAAGTTGAAAATAAATGTATTTACCATGCTGCTTAAAATAGCACTTGATGAGAAAAATCTGTTAGTATATTGTTTTTTCTTTTTAAATCCCTGAAGTACTAAAGGTGACTCTTGACTTCCAGTAACAATTAGTATTTCTTTTAGTCAAATCCCATTAGTAAAGCTTTTTCCTGGCTCGGCAGATTGAATGAACATGGCAGGGAAGATTGTGAGCCCAGCACAATGAGCAGGCACAATTCCTGCAAAGACTCATCATTCTTTATTCTGCTCTTGCCTGTAGAAAATAATCAGAAATTAAACAGACAGGTATTGCTACAACAGAGCTTTATTACATATTGATTTTGTCACCATTGGTTTCTATTTCTTGTTTTTCCTCTCAAATGTTAAACATTGTTAAACATGGTAAAACTTTAGTTGCTTACTCTGCTTGACTTCCTTTAGTAGAGTTTGAAGTAAAATCTGGAAACTGACAATTCTCACAGGAATTTAATATTTTGCTTGTATGTGCTGCATATTCATACACCACTATTGTTCATTATATGATTTTGCAAATGTGCACAAATATCAACTAGTAATTTCATAAATCTGAAAACCACAATTCCCAGGTGTTGACCATGACCCTAGAAAAAGCCTAGAGAAAACAACCTCTTTACGAGACATACCTTGCAATAGATGTTTGTTTAACTGGAAATCCACAAGAGCAGCTGCCCAGTGCAACAGTACATATTTGCTTCTGAATGCTTTCTCAAAGACACTATTTAAACATGCTGATGAACTGAGCTGGGTTTTTCCCCACCTCCATTCCAGAAAAATAAGGACACTCAGAAGATAAAATTTGTTTTGTTATTGCAAGTAATGCTATGTGGTAAGTGAGAAATTTACTTTCTATAGTCCTATGTAATTATGAAGGTGGGAAATGTCCATTTCCTGTACAGATGCAATGTCTGTGTGTACTGCTTAGTGATATTTCTACTTGAAAATGAATATACTTCTATTTCTAGAAGTGTTTGTGTATAGAGCTCCTTCTTGTCCATATTTGGCTTAATGTTAAAGATCTGCTATTCTAGCTTCACTGCTTTGGCAAGAGGAAACAAGTATTTCTTGTATTGAGACTGAAACTCCAAGTTATAGAATGTGTTTCAGTATGGTTCTGATTTACGTTAAGCTGTAAACAACTGAGATTTTTGACATGGGTTTTATGATGTGTGCAGCTGGACTAACTATCACCAATTTCATGCAGCATCTTGAATAGGAACAATGATAACAGACATCTTTTCAAATGTCCCAGTTCTGTGCTAAGTTTAATGCTTTCACTTAGAGGGGAAAATTTGTGCCTCCTGAGACAGTCACACTTTACACTTTCTTCTTGGACTCTGTTTTAGCCTTTCCTCTGCCATTTAATGGATGAGAATCCCTTCACCCAGTGAACAACTTTAATTGTCAGAAGAAATTTCTAAGTTCTCCTTCTCTCATAGAACAGTTTCTGCAACCATTCTATCTCTAAAACCAAAGGAATTGGGAGTGACCATAGCTGAGGTGGTGTCACTCATCTTCTCCTCCACCACCGGCCAATGGTGTAAACTGTTGGAAAGGACTCAACTCAATGTCCCTCCTATTCCTGCAGGCAGCAATTATGCATGTGACAAACTTCACTCTGGCATGGAGAAAGATCTGATCTGAGGGTACACTGACTGACACAAAAATAAATTTTCTCAGAGTATGAATGATGTTTTCTATAGTAAAATAGAAATAAAAAGGTACAAGATGAGTTATGCTTTTAAGGTGTGAGAAGTCCTGTGACACCTGTTTCAAACTAAATTAAAAATGTCCATCAGCCACTTAGTCTTCTATTTACTCTGTGTTTTCACTTGCTTTGGAGTTTGTAAGCAGCAAATCATAACGTCAAAACATGGACTGAACCCTAAGATATTTATTCAGATTAGAATTTTATGACTGGCAAATGTCTGCCTGAGTAGCCTTGTCATCTTCTAATTTTTTTAGTGTAAAAAAGAAATGTAAAAAATAAAAATATAAAAAATCATATTCTTGCAGCATCCAGAAATTTTTTTTCTCTCAGCTTCAATAATCAGAACATTACCGACTAATCTGCTTTAAAACAAGAAGGGTAAAACCATGCTTTCTAACAAGACTTGTGGTGAGATTGAGGAACACAGGTTTATTCCATAAATATCAGTCTGGTTTCCTAGTGGAATTTTCTGGTTTTCTCATCCCCTGCAATGACTTTAAGAATAGTTTCAGAAAAATGACTTTTAAATTTTCAAATCCAATTTCTGGATAAATGAAAGTAAAAAAAAAAGATAAAATGAGCTGTATTAGAAATCACAGGTACTTTGTAAATTAAGGTAATTTTTAGATTTCTAGGAAAACAAGATGTTTTATCTTTTGTTGCAATGTTTTGAAATTTTCTATTTACTTTGAAGAAAACTTTGCCTTGAAGCAAAATGATGGTTTAATAGTGAATAGAGAAACTGTCCATGGTGGCTATGAAATCCAAACTGAATCACAAGACCAGATGGTCTTGACTATTACTACTACTATTTTCAAGCTGCATCAGAGGTAGTGATGTAAGAGATGTTGTAAGACCTAATTTTCAGTTCTGATTAGAAGGAAAGTGTGACAATAATTGTCTACATATTTCACAATGATTTTATGAAAATCAGTGTTTATAGAATTTTTGATCGGGTAATATGTGTAATGAACATTTATATTTTAATTGGATAGCTGAACTTAATGCAATATTCTTAAACATTACTTATACATTCATTAATTACATAACTCTTATATTTTTTCATTCTTCCTTCAAACTCTGAACTGTTTAGTATGATATGATTTAGATCTGTTATTTTACACATGGTTGTGTTTGTCATGACAGGAAAGTGAAATTCAAAATATTGACAAGATAATTAATTTTTCCATTCACTATACTTTACACATGTGGATAATGATAAAAATCATTATACTGTGTCTTTTTTTGCTTTCTGGTTCTAATAGTTCATAGTAGTAGATGAAAATAATGTGAAATTATGCTCCAAGGATGTCTGTTCCACAACTTCCAAGGCCTGGAATCTGTGTTTATAACTTTACCTGTAATTTCCTGTCATAAGAATAAAGAAGCAGCATAAAAAAATTTTAGCCACCAATGACTGTCACTAAGATGTTCTGGAACTTAAAACTAAGCAAAAGCAATGAATATATATTGATAATTTTAAAACAATTGTGACTCAGCAAAGTGATACATACAACAAATGCTATCATGCTGGTACAAATTTTTAGCCATGGACCAATATTTTTTAAAATCTCTTCCATGTATTCTATTCTATACTTTTGTCATCTCAAGGTTATACTTTGAATGTACTCCTAAAGGTAATGGCCATAATGAAGCCAGAGGTGTCAGCTGTTCCAGCATGTACATACTGACTGCCTAAGGGATGCTGGGAGGTGGCTGCTAGCCCATTGCTCTGGTGAACCATGCTGTTTTCTCTTGGTTTTCTCCAGAGAGCTGAGATGCTTTTTCCTGGGTTCTGTTTATTTGAAAAACTCATTTGTGTCTTATCATCATGAGATGGACAGAGTTACCAGGCTTTACCCTGCTGATATCACATGAGTATATTCACCTTTGGGGTGTGAAAAATTTCCAATAAAGATCCCTGAATGCAGAACTTATTTCATTCATCCCAGTCCTGCTTTGCTCCAGTTCTTTTATGCACAAGTGAAAGAAAGAGAAAAAGAAAGAAATAACATGCTGACTTATTATTTTAGAAGGATTTATTTGTACATTAATTCAACTGAAGATAATTGGTGTGGAAAACATGAATACAGCATCCCAATAAAGGATAAAAAAGATTACTAATCTTCTTAGTGATAATTGTTTAGAAATGTGGGTAGGCTGGTACCTTAGTAATGTTCTACTCATAGGCACATACCATAAGAAAAGTAAAATTCACTATGTTCTGCTATTCCTTTGTTTATGTTATTGAACAGTATTTTCTAAAATTTTTAGTTTGCCGCTTTTGACTCTAATACTGCAATGTGAGATATTGGCTTGCCTTTGGAATGAAGGCCTTACAACAGAAGATTGAAAGGACATTTCTCATCTTCTAGTGCTGTAGTGTTTGGTTTTGTAGAGCTCGAGGTCTATCCTATGCAGGAGCTGAGCAACAAGTTGTGCAGTAACACCCAAATACTGTAACATTTAAAACTTGGAGCCACTCTCCAAAACACCATCAACATTATTTCAACGATATCTATTACTCCATTTAACATGAAAGGCCCTAATTTAAGCTGTATAAAAAGATCAAGCTTCTATAGTTTATGTCAGGGCAACATCTAAATCCTATCACATCTTTCTATTTCTGACTATTGGAGTAAATTCTCTAAAACTAACCTTCCCTTCTTGTTACCAGCTAATGATGTACATTTATGATCTGTTTCTTCATCCAACCATGTTTTTCCTGAATTTTGAGGAAGATGTGTTTGTTCAGACACACTGTTTATCCATTCAGAAATGACCATCCACTCTTACAGGCTGACATGAAACACAGAAGAAAGTGTTTCACTTAAAAGTACAGTTTTAACAAGGTCAACATGAAAGCACACATGCAAGTCTCAGGATAATAATCAGACCTTATGGACAAGTTGGATAAACTGATTTGTTTTTTTTAATGGTAAATTTTGATTTTTCCACTCAAGTTCTTGAAACCTACAGTCTGAATGAACACATATGCATTTAAAAATACTTTTGTAGCAGTTTTACTTCAAAAATATTATTATCTATTGTAAGAGATTTTGTCAAATATAGACATTTCTCACAAAAGTTTGTTATAACTGCCAATGAAAGGAAAGCATTTAATCAGGTAAACCTAAAAATGTATACAACAATTGTCCTGACATACACAGGGTAGCTCACAAAGAAAAATATTCTCAGAAACTTACTCACTCTTTTTCAAAGCAAATGATTAGGACAGTAAACAGGTGCCAAAAAGATAAAAGTATTCAATTACTTCCAACTAAGCACTCATTTCATAAATGTTAGGCTGGAAAGTCACTCAAATAATTGCTCAAAAAGAATGCATTGGAGTCTACATGTTATACTTCTGATGCCATTTAGTTAAATTGAATCATTAAAGACAAGAACTAAGCACCTAATTCTCCTTTATACAAAAGTGTCTTTATGTGACTCTGGCAGAACAGATGGGCTGTTAAACAAGTGCTGTAATTAATGCCTGACTGAATGGCCACTGGTACCAACTGGAACAGTGAAATGAAAACTAATCCCCAAATTTTCCTAAACATTTTTCTAAGTGAGAAATACCATAACTATAATAAAAATTACTAACTACTAAAGAGTAGAAACAAATTCATTGATTTTTTAATTTGATTGTTATGTCTGAAGACTTCAGAAAGGTATTGATGCTGTGCTAAAAATACCCTGGAAGTGTACAAACTACTTCTGTGGATTTGGTTTAGGAATAGCTTTCTTTGTTTTTGACCAAGTCATAACAGGAAAACAAGTATTTTTTCCATAGAAATGCTGACATAACTTTACTAATAGCACCTTTAACAGAGGTTGTTACAATGTGTGTTTACTCAGGTACAGGATTAAATAAGAGATGTGAACTCACCATAGTAACCCCTGCATCACATTGCAGATATGCTGCTTCTAAGATACGGCAAATGTTTCTGAAGAAATATACATGAATATGAGGTAAACATATATCAATTCCAAATTGTGTTTCAAAAAAAATTTGCCATACAGCATAACAAAAAAGCAGCATAAGTTGATGCTCTGTAAATTAATGTATTACGGGATGTTATTTTCACTGTGTTACGACTTTTGGCTCAAAATATAATAGATAATTCCCCAATTCACTATAGCAAAACTAATGACAAACACAGTATTGAAGTCCTCGCAAATACTGCTGTGAATCCTTACACTCCCTAGGAATCCAGGAATCTCACCTGTCTGTTTTGAACCACCTCCTGCTGGTGTTCTGAGATCTTGCAACAATACTAATGTTACCATAAGATTTTCAGAAGAATTCTGTGAAAACAGTTAAAGTTGGAAGCAAGTTTTCTTCTAAACAGTCTTTTTTCCCACTTTTAGACACTTTACTGTTTCCTCTTCATTATCCCTCTACATCTTCAAATTAATCAGCTAATGTATGTCCCTTCAATTGATCTTGTTTTGCATAAAAAGCTTATAATTGTATTTACAAAATTACAGCCTTGTTTTGTTTTGTTTTGTTTTTTTTCCTTAAATGTTTTCACTTCACCTTCAAACCACATAGGCAGTACCTAAGGTGAGATCCGATGATACCCGGTGGGTTGCTATACCTCTGGAAATTAAGCTTTTGCTGCTGCATCTTTCTTATACTTTATCCAACAATTCATGGCAGAATTTAATACTGCAAGGAAAACTAAATGATCATATTACTTTGAGTTTTTCCTCGATATTAAGCAACCCTATTGTGTCTTCCCAGATTTCAGTTGTAGAGGAGGGAGGGAACACCAATTTTCTAACATTGCCTGAGATGACTGATACAGAAGACAACAAGTATTCTGAACTACCACATAACGTTGTCTCCATACATTTTTCAATCACTGTTCAAGGTTTCATCTCTGTGGTACAGAAATGCAGGAACCGTAAATAAATTTTGAATATTTTTGTTCGCAGAGGCAGAGGTTTAATTAAAACCTCAAAGCATTTTATTAAGCCTGAAAACCTCATTGTCAATCTACATACCTACATTTTATTAGAAGGGAATACTTTTTTATTCTTACAAATGAACAAGTTTGTTCATTGAGGGTGTTAAAAAAATCTGTTTAAAAATCTACTAATAAAATGCACTCCCCTATATGAAACTTATTTTTATTTCACCACCATTTCCCCATTGGTTTATTATATTTTTTCACAGAGGGTTACTTATACTTGGGGTAAGGGATGATGTACAGTGACTGAATGGTTGGTCCCTGGTGTTTCTGTGCACTGGGGACATGCCCTGGTCCCAGGTAACCCTGATTGTGATGGGGTTCGAGGACTCACCTATGAGTTGGGGTCCAAGTGCTGCTTGATCAAGCTCCTGCCCTGCCTCTGTGTTCCTTGGGATGATGACTTGATCCTGATGGGAGCTGAGGCTGAGTGCCCCCAGGCCTGGGAGAGGTGTTCAACTTATAGTTCCACCAGGACTGGTGGCCTCTTCCCAGGCAAGCTGTGCAAGCAGCTGTATTTTATGTCTGGTTTTTATTCCCTTTTCATGGCTACCTATGGTGCAAAAGATGCAGCTGCTCAGGTGAGAAGGGATGGTTCAGTCAGCATGGGTGAAACTCATCCACAAAATGCCTGCCTGAGAAGTTGTGTGACAATTTCCACCTTTGCTATCATTCAAAACTTCCTTTAAGAAGCTCATTGTGTTCAGTTTTGACTGTCCCTTTGCTCAGCTTAGGGATAATGTTAATTGTGACTCTGTGCTAGCAGAGATTGTCAGAGGGTATTTGAGCTATTCCTAGTTTTTTTTTTTTTTAACTTGTTTGTGGTTTTGTTTGTTTGTTTGTTTGTTTGTTTGTTTTTTTCCTGGCTCATTTGTTCAAGTTTTCAAGCTCCCCATAAAAAGGAGTTGCTGGCTGTGGTCCTCAGATGACTGAAATGATAATAATAATACGGCCAAACTATGTTTCTTATAAAACAATAGCATTCTAGATTACTTCTCATGACCCAGGTTTACATACTTACTTCAGATTAACTGATGGAAATAGCCAAAATAGCCTAGTCACCATGGCACTGAGTTTCTTATATTAGTTTGAGACCTTTGTGATTAACTGTCACAGGGATATAACCACACTTGTTTTTACTATTGTAAATCCAGATCACAAAACCCTTCACAAACTGTATCGAAATGAGTCAAATGTCTGCCCACATGGCTCTCCAAACAACCACGATCAATGGGTACCATTTTCTGAAACTAGTGTTGGTCATGGGTGTGATGTGGCCAGCATCATGTTCAGCTGCTTTTGAGACCCTGCATCCAGCAATTTCTATTTATAACTATTTCTATTGAAAATGGCTGTTGGCACCAGGACAGGCCAGAGCTTGGTCTTTGGTCTCTGGATCCACTAGGGAGAGCACTGTCTGTCTCCCACACCCTGCCTTTTCCCTGTACAGAGCAACAACCATGTACAGAGCTGTGGAAATAGTTCATGACTTCCTCCTATACATGTTGTAGATATTGGGTGAACCCAATTAATTGAAAAAAAATCACATCCCCTCCCCTCATTATCCTTGTCTCACAAGAATTCATCTTGACTTTTCCCCCAGCTGCCTTACTCCTGATGGAAGCAATCTATTCCACATATTGCAATCTGTTGTTAAAATTATTGGTTTATAGTGCTTAACATTTTATTTTTCTTAAAACTGAATTTCTTAATTTTTTTAATAGAAGAAAAACCATCAGCTTTGTAAAAATGAAATGTCAGCATTATATGGCTCAGAGAAGTACCATGAAACTTTTGCTATTGCCATCTCAGATTTTTGGACTTGCTGTATCTGTGTTTTTGCATAATGGTTTCAATTGAAATATTTCAAAAAGAATGTTTCTTTTCTTTTGCAGTGAACATTTCTGTTTGACATCATGTAATTCCTCATCGCCAGTGCTTGAAATAAGCAAGCATTAAGGATTGATATATTATGTGGCTCGCTGCTGCTCCTCACAGCCCAAGGGAATGGGACACTCTGAGAGCTGAATGGATTTAGAAAATTACTAAAAATGACTAAGCCTCTCTCCCAGATTTGTACAAACAGTCCCTTTTTAACACTGAACTCCTTAACCAAATCTGCCAATTCACATTTCTTCCTGTATTTATTTTTCATTAAAATTGGTTTGGCTTTTGCTGTGTGTTTTTTCTTTTTCCAGTTTTGTTTGTTTGTTTTTTTTTGGGTTTTTTTGAGTTGTTTTTTTTTTAGCTATTTGATTTAAGGGAACAAAGAGATCAAATAATCCTCAGGTATTTTTCTTACTGGAAGAGGTCTGTGAAAGATCTTTTATTATCCTTTTCCTTTTCACTGCAAGAAAATTTCCATAGATTATCATTACAGATATATTTTACAAAGAAAAAATGAGTAATATAACACAAACACATCCATTCTCTTAATTGAATGAGCTACAGCTTTTTGGCTGAAACGAACAATAATATTATTTATAACTCAAATTACATTCCACAAACTATGCTCTCATCTATAAAGAGACTATAAATGGTGTGGTAGGGTTTCATATTGGTTTTCTATTTTTTTTCCCTCCAGTGACTTTCCTGTTGACCCTTCTTTTAATTTACAAATAAAACCTTGACTTTCTTGACTGCCAGCACTGAAAATCCACCCTGGGATCTGAGATCAAGCTGTGTCCTTTCTGCTTTATGCCAAAATAGACTCTGGTTCACCTCCTCAGTGTTGAGGTGGCTCTGCAGGGCTGGCAAGAATGTAAAGAAACAACAATAGTTTTGCCAGTAAAAAGATAAAATGAACGAATTCTCTCAGAAGTAGGAAGATACCAATTTTCAAGTCAGCTTTATAGAAGACAGCTGTTCTTTGAAACAAATGCTCATAGGAGGGTTGGGGTGGGACACCTCATTGCTTGCTGTTCCTGCACAACCTTTTCCCCTTTGGTCTTTCCAGTTCAGCCTGTATATCAACCAGCTGAGGGGTTTGTGGCTGTGGCTGCACAGCCTTTTTCCCTGTCAGCACTGCTGGACTCGGGTGTTTCTGCCCTCTTTGAGCTGTTTTTGCCCTTATGCTTGTGTTAATGCTGAGACCATTGTGTGCATTGGGTGGAGGGGTGTCCTGTGGAGGTCCCAAGCTTGTCTCTTTCCAGCCAGGTCCCAACACAGCTCTGCAAACACTTGGGCTGTCTTGGATATATGCTCACCCTTCTGCTTCTGTGTTTGTGGGGTATCCAATGAAATCTAGGAAATCAGTTTCCTAATGATTTTTAAGTCTTGGTCAAAGATGAACACTCAGCCAGGTTTTTTTCAATTAGTTATAATACCTTCTAAAATTCTTTTGAAGTTCAATCTTCTGTATTATAGTTGGCAAATACATGTTCTCAGTGGAAGGAAGTCTGATGGATATAAAATCCCTTTGGACAGAGTACAAAAACTTAGAGATGGTCAGCTTCCATTGGGAAGTGAGTATCTCTGCAGAGGTCAGGAACCCACTTCACCCAGACTCCGGGACCGAGCCCTCTGCTGCTGTCATGGGAGAAGGGCTCGCTCCTTGCAAGGACAGGAGTTTGCACAAGGCAGAGAAATGTGGGCAAAGCAGAGAGAGAGGGTGCAAGGCCTGACAGCAGTCAAAAAAGGTGCTAACAGGGACTGCTCTAGTGGCTTTTCTGGAGCTGCAATTGTTCCTGCTGTCAGGAGTACTGAGGCACATGATAGGTGAGAAACACTCTCAGGAAAATGGTAGCAGGTGAGGTCAGGCGAAGACAGAATTGTGTCCAAAGGCACACGTGAAGCCCCATTCCCTGTCTGCACAGTCTTAGCTCTGTTGGCAGAACACAGGTTCAGCTGCTCAGTCCTATAATTCACTGTGTTTTATGTCTCATTTATTGAAGAATAGAGAGAAGGTAATGATGCATAACAGACTGCTGCCCTGGAGCTCTTTCAGGCTGTGGACCGCAAAATCCCCGTTTCCAACTCTGAGAAATAATCAGCTACAGTACTGTTGGTTCTTAGGGACAAGTGAAGTTCATGATGACCTGCTGATGTCTGGATTATCAGCTGCCCAGTACTGTCTGCCTTTTCCACTGGCTCTCCTCTGCCACCCCATGCCACCAGCTGTGCTGAGAGCACTGATCTCATCATGCAGTGCTGCCACAACCCTACTCGAGAGCCTGACAAGCATTGAGAAGCAAGGCTGAAAAATTATTTCTACTTCATAACAGACAGAATTAACAGGAGAAGAAACACTGAGCTATGGGGAACATGCATTGGCATTTACAGTTCCTTCTGCAGATACATCCTGTGTGAAATGTGAGTTTCTTCACTGCCTACTTGAGTTTGATGAAAGACATATTTAGTGGAACTTTATTTTTTATCTTAAATGTAATTTGGTTTTCTGGATATACACTGACATGTAGACTAAGAGAAAAGGAGGATAATTACAAAAGCTAATTAAAACAGCTTTCACATAAACTAGAGATTTACACAGAATTTCTTCCAGAAGAAATTCCTTTGTGCTTGGTTTGGCTTAATAAAACTTGTGTTTTATTTTTGATGTACTTTTTTAGGCTAATTCTGCAAATATGTATTTGAGTTCTAATTTTAATAATCACAGTAATATCAACATTTACTTTTTTTTCTGCCTAAGAGGTAAAAATCTAAACGTAGCAGAAAATGTATCTTTTAAAACTGAGCCTCTGTAAATATTTCCTACCAACCACCACTGAAAAGGTAATTCTTTCTTAGGAATAAACCCAAATTCATAAAACCAAAGGTATTCACAGTTAAGACATTGACTCTTTTTTCTCTTAGTCCAATACTATTTGTTTATGTATTACAGCATCTACTGAACATTATGTAAGACCTGTCGCAAGAACTTGTGATATCTGATGAATAAAGAACAAAGTCTCAGTTTAGTTTAGAATTTTCAGGGTTGAGCAGATTCTTCGTAACCCTGTCCCAGGTCTTACTGCTCCAGATGGTTCAACTGCAAATCACGTCTCTGAATAATGGAGAAACTCCTGTCACTGTGTGCCTTGAGCTTGCAATCCTTTATGTACAAAGGAAATCAAAGGACATTCCTTGGGAAAAAGTGCTAAAATTCACATATTAACTGACAAAATTCTTTTTGAATTAGATGAACTGTTAGATTGCATTATCAGCAACCAATAATTTCATTTTATGAGTTATTGGTCACTCAAATCAGAAGAATGATCATCTGAATCAAAATTCTATCCTTAGCTCAATTTTTAAGATTCAGACTACATGGACATCCATTCTGATATCACACAAGCTAGTTAGCATTCAGAAAGCTTAATCTTGTTCATTTCATTCAGATGAATATTCTCACTGGGGTTAATGAAGTTCTTATAAGAATAATATGAACATGGTTACTTAATTCTTGCCTAGATAATGTTAAACCATTTGATTAAATCCCTTTTCCCCCCTCAAGGCTGCTGACAAGAAAAATTAACCAAGACTCACAAATATCCAGCTATGATCCAGTTCAAACCACATACATTCCCAAGGAGAAAAATAAAAGGAAATTTCTTTAAGCAGAAATATGTCTTTAATATGGGAGTGAAGACAGAGTAATACTGTTGGATTACAATAAGTAACTGGGCCAACTTTCAAAAAAACCCAAACCCAAATGTGCAGAAAAGTTGCCTTCAGAAATTAATTGGATTCTGCATAAAAAATATTTTGCATTTTACTTGCAAATATACACTTTGCCTGAGGATAAATGTGTTTGCTCATTTAACTAAATAATGCATGCTATGACATACCAGAAAATATGCAGAACAGTGTATTCAAGGGTACATGGACACCCAGATCATGGCACTTCTTGTCTTCTTATCTCTAGAACTATTTAAACTATTGAAAAACTATGCCCATCACCTGGGTGAAATGCACTTTGGGAATACAGGCAATATACACTAAAGTACTGCTCTTTATTTAATAGCTATAAAATAGAGACGAGATAAATTTTGATAATTGGTAGGAATACATGTTGCATGAAGAAAATTGCATCAAGCAAATGTTGATGTCTCCACACTGTAGAGCAATTTTAGCAAGGATTGTACCTGTGAGCATGAATGTTTGACAATCCCTACAAACAATCCCACAGTGATGATTAATAGTTAACAATGAGCAGGTAAAGTCCTGTAGTATAGAATCAGCTATAAATTTTATAAATATTAAAATGCTTAAAATCCTATCTAATGTTGCCTCAGTAGGAGACTGGCATGTGAGGACACAAAATGTTAACCCATCCCATGGACAAAGCTGAACTATTGCTGCAGGCAGTGCAATGGGAGGGGAAGAGCTGCTCCATGTGTTCTGCTTGAGCTGTGCAGGCAGCTCAGTAAACATGGGGTAGGGACAGCATCATTTATTTTCACCAAATCACCCATAGCCATGTCTAGAAAAATGAATTAAGATTATGCAACTTTTGGTATTTTCTACCTCTTGATTTCTTAATTGATAAATAGCTGTTACACTTTGCATAATTGATTAAATAGGATTTACAGTTTTACTTTTGTGGTTATTCCTGCCTTTTGAAATAAAAAAAAAAAAAAACAAGAAGAAAAATAAGTCAATAACAAGACTTTAAGTCTTTTGGCACTTTAAAATCAGTTTATTTTTGGAAAAGCATGGCTTCATTAATCTGAGTCTATGTAAAAACCTACAACTTTTTTAGCTCAAACCTTCCAGGGCATTTCACCTTCAGAGCCAAAATGGAGATGTTTTGAAAGAGGAAAAGCTTATGAGGCTACTGATATGTGGTAATACAAAAAAAAAAAAAAAAAATAGATAAGACACTGTCACAGTGTTCTAAGCCAGTGTGTTCCAGCAGCTGCATCATCATCCCTTTCCTTGGCAAATCAGCATGCCTGTTTTTCCAGGAATCTCTTAGCTCCCTCCTTTCCTTCCTCAGTCCTTCCTTTCTGCCCTCTTGTATTTTACCCTGTAAAAATATATGTTAGCCACAGGACAAGAGAGACGATAGCATGACTTGGCAGGAAAAGTAGGAGAGATGGATATCTAGAACAAAAGAAAAAAGCACAATGATAAAATGGTGGAGCGGATTGTGGAAGACAGTCAGACTGCTTGGAAGTACAGGCGGATACTGGGATGAGACTAAAACAGAATATTTAATGTATGCCCGTAGTAATT